CCCCAAAACCCCAAAACCCCAAAACCCCAAAACCCCAGAAATATAATTAAATATTGAAAATATAACAAATGAGCATTTCAAGTCTAAATCCGCAAATACTGAACTGGTTGTCCTCCAAAGGCATTGATACAAACAGTGGTAAATAAAGCCAAAGTAATAGGTAAGTGACTACAAGATCCCATCTATCCACGCTTATCAATAGCTCAAACCTCATTTGTTCAATTTTTGTGAACTCTGAGACAATTTTTATAAAATCATAGACCAAATCATCAAGAGATATTTCTTGGACGGCAAAAATGAATCAGAAAATTTCATAAAGACTAGGAACAAGGTCCTATCTAACCTAAAGGTAAGTTTTTTTCACAATAAGTATACCAAGCAAATTATAGATCTTTCCGAAATCATTGGCGCCTTCAATGAAGTCTTGTTCACAATATGTACACAAGAATAGTTTAAAGATAATTGAGAAACTACATAAGCACATTAAATCGAATGTGAACAAGAGCTTTAATGACCAACAGAGATGAAAGAACAATGCCCCTAGAACTCAGCTCACTAGTATAGAGAGGGAAAGTAAGCTATTTTTAAACATGTCTAGAGAGGAATGACTTATCAGAGCTTGATCTAATCGGTCTTGCTAATAATTCAAACCTAAGCTGTAAAGCTACGAATTATTTACTTCCAATAAATGATATCGAGAAAAGTATTCTTAAAATCGCTTCTGAAGTTATTTCATCAAACAATAATGACCTTTTTAAGAATGAAGAGAAATTAAGAAGGATTCTGACTAAAGAAAACTCATCAGATATCAAGAAGATATTTCAAGATAGTGTCAGTATCATTAAAAAATACTTCCAGAAGCATACAACTAAGATCATGACAGAGATGGATGCCTTGTTAAAAGACTCTAATAATCTATCGAACAGGAGCCGACTAAAGTCAGTCGCTTTTCATAATTTAAGCAGTAACTTAATCCTCCCAAGCACTGTTGAGCCAAGCTGAAGTTCAAACTCAAGAAATGTGCCGCTCTTAATGGAAAGTAGAAGTATATATAATCAGAAGTCGTATTCACTATGCTCTAATAGTTTAAACTCGATCCATTGTAGTTATAGATGCTCACAAGGAGATTCTCAGCAGATCAAAGTGCCTGCATCGTTATCTAAAAAGCCAGGAGTTCCATGTAAGGCTATTAAGAAACTGAAGGATAAATCAATAACAGGAGTTTCCTCTCTAAATTCTCACAACACAAGCTTATCAAGGAAAGGAAATATGAGGAAGAAAAATAAGTCTTTGAAGATCTGAAATAAGAATAATTCTGAAATTATGAAGAAAACAAAGCCAGGGTCTCATGTTAAATATCACAATATCTCTCATATGTCAAGCTCTTCAAGCTTCCATAAGTATTTTAAGAGCAAAAGATCCTCTACACAACAAGTGTCAAAACTTAAATGAGAAAGATCTTCCAGTGAGCCTGCAAAAGAACCTAAATTATCAAATAATATGATTAAAATTAGGCGGAAAAACAAAAGAGAGGAAAAATCTGCCATTTATGATCCTCTACAGCCGATAGCACCCACTCCAACTGTGCAGTTTAACCTTGAGAGAAGTGATATGAAGCAGAGGAAAGACTCTCAGAGCCAGGGAAAGACAAAGATTAAAGAAGACTTTAATAATGATAACTTGTTGGTAGAGATTTCAAATTCAAGTTCAGTTCGCAAAATACCTCTTGAAAATAGTGCAAAAGAAAGCTCTCAAAACTATGAAGCCAATATGAACCACTCACATAAAGATATAAGCATTCAATTGAACCAGAGGCAGAATCCAGAGATGGAGCTAAGTGGAGAGTATGAAGATATATCTCATAAATTTTCCCAGATAAGCCCAATCCCATCTTCCAACTCTAAAATTGAAAACAAAGTATTAGATACGAACATCAAGCCAATTCCAATGAAAATCCTAGGTTTACCTAAACAAATGGATGAATCTAGTCAGAATGGCTTCCAGATAAGAAAACACTCTATTCTGTTAATAGATAATTATGAGCCTAATGGGCAGCATGACTCTATTTTTGACTTGAATATGAGTAATTCTTCAGACAAGAAAAACTCAACTCAAGAGTTACCTGCCACTGTAAAGGTTGGACAAGGCAACAAAGGGTCTCCAAATCTCAGTATTATTGATCAGTTCCAGAGCAAAAACCAGAATAATGAAGAAATTAAAGAAATCCTTACAGAAATCAACGGAAAGCAAGCAGACGATCAAGAAGATTTCTATGAAATTGAAATGAGAGAGAAAATAGATGATTATAAAGACCTCCAACAACTCTACAAGAATGGTAAAAATTTTTCGAAAGTGAGCCCAATATAGAACAAAACCCTAAAACAAAGGTCACCACAGACCAATATGGGAAGCTTCAAAAGTTGGATAAAGATTTTCTGTCTCAGAAATTTCCAAACAGACGGAGCAGACAGTAAGACCTTACCTCATTTCTAGGAAGAACAAAGCATGAATGTCTTTGGCGAGGCCTTCATATTCTCACCAAATAGTGAGTAAAAACTCTTCTCTAAATATTCCCAAACACAACCGAAGTCAGATGGGAAGATCCAAAGAAGCAATTCTTTCTGAAGAAGAAGTCAGGAGGATCGAGCAAATCCTTGACTGTAAAAATAGAGCGGTCAATAAATGGATAGAGGAGAAAGAAGACCATTATGACAAGTTGATGCAAAAGCTTTATTCTAAGGCTGAGAAACGTCTAAAGAAATACAGTAACCTTGATTGTGATAGTGCTAATAAATCAGATAACGAAGAAAGTAACAGATTCTCTCTTAAGAGCTCAGATACAGAGCAATATAGTATAATGATCCCTGTTTATGATATAGATCTTAATTCTAAAAGTGATACTGAGGATTCCCAGAATATTAACAGTTCATTAATGAAGCACTTAGAAAAAGAGTTCGAAGATGGCATGATCAGTGACTCTGTAAAGAAGATATATAAATCTTCTAATAAAGTATTTCCAAAACCAGAGGTGTATGTGACTCATGAAGTATATGCTTCTGGTAAAGACAAGCATGAAGAAAATCCTGGGCTTATTAGCCTAACTAAGCAGCCCCAAAGTTATTCCTACAATAAGAAGGAGCCAGTAATAGAAAGTGGAGAAAATGATGTGCCCAATATTTCCTCAAATACTTCAAGAATAAAACCATTATCTTGTAAACTGAAATCTAAAGAATTGCAGGAGAAACAGATTGATGCTGACTTTATGAGGCAGTTGTGAAGAAATCAGAAAAGAAGTCGTGGGTCAATCTTGAAATCTAACCTGACAGATTCGAAAAATACATTAAATGGAGAAGCCATTTCAGCCACAGTGGATTGTCATAACTACAGTGTGAGTTATGAGTCTTCTGGCGTAAGGGAGAAGTCTTTAAACTTTACAAATACTCAAATAGATGCTCTATTTTTCTTAGTTGAAGAGTACTCAAGAGAATATAAAATTGATCCTCAGGTACAAGCTCAGACGATGATAGAGTTTTGGAAGAATGAATATTCAAAAACAGCTTTATATGATAAAGCATTCCGGGGAGAACTAAACCCTGCATTTGTTGAAGATATCCTCAGCGATTCAAAGCCTAAATGAAAGAAGTTACAGAACAATCATTATGATATTCTGATGCTAAGAACTCTTGCTAAGATGGATGAAAATTCAGTGAGGCAATTGTATATTAAGAACAAGTTCAAATTGACTAGAAAAGAATATGGATATTAAGGTGCATAATAAGTTAAATAATTTCAATGCTTCACTTCTTTTCAGGGGTTTTGGGGTTTTGGGGTTTTGGGGTTTTGGGGTTTTGGGGTTTTGGGG